TTATCGAAGTATAGATAAATCTTAGTTTGTGTTTTATTTATAATATAGGCGTGGGTAGAGCATTCTATATTGTCATGTGATTTCTGTAAAACTCAACAGCTCGAATCATAGAGAAAATTAGTGAATATAGTTGGTTAATACCTAGAATATCGCAATTAGAAGAATATTGTTTCGAAACTGTCTTCATATAACAGAAACGAACACATTTTAGAATTAAGATATGAAAGTGCAAGGAAATAATTCGAAATAGGTGTCTGAGATTGTTAAGCTGTACCATTTGCGTCGACAGTGAACATCATACTATTCATATTCATATTAATACATGTATTCGCATTGTTTTACAAGCTTTTGTGTTTCCACGTTTATGATTACATGGTATAAGTCGATATTGAATACATAAATACACGGAGCGTGTTTTATACGTTGTTCCCATTCATTAAAAATGATACCTAAGTGTGGGGGAAATGTCCGGATTTAGCTGATCATAAAATTGGTACTTTTTTTCAAATAAACGCATTTATCTCGCGTTTTTAGGAGAAGCAAGTAGTACTCCAGGGAATGGTTAATGTGCGATGGCGGTCCGTTTTCAGATTGTCAATGACCTCGAGTTTGCTCTCTTTGACCTCATATATTTATTCTTTTGAACAAAAGGACGTCATATGTTGTCTTTAATCCCTGAATGTCACACACCGATGACCATAAATAAATATGTACAGTAATTTGTATTGTTTCAGTCGTTCGTTTATCATTTTCAGTCAGGGGGATTGACCGAAAGGGCGAACATTTTTTCGATGGGTTTTCCTCGCGAGTTTGTTCAATGAGATAATGATAGAACACGTGAATACAATTGCGGAATAGCAATAATCCGCAAAGTTTAAATTTCAATCATTTTTCAAGAAATTGTTTAATCCAAGCCGTATAGTTTATGCATATGCTAGCTGTTTGTTATATGTGTGGATTAGTTTAAAATCTTCGGATTACAGTGTATTTGTCCATAAATACTAATGCGTTGTCGAAATTCATTGTTAATTTAATCGGCCGTTTTCGTTACCAGTGACAACGTTAACTTGTTCAAACCTGATTTGATAAAAACGCAAGTGATTCGTTCACAATGTTTTGGTTTACAATAATTCGGTTTATGGATTTACAGGCACCAGTCAATTCATTTCTCTACACTAGAATTTCTCGTTCATGTAATTTCCCCTTTTCAGTTGAACCTTAAACGACTCCGTTTTGGCTACTGGCGTTTTATGCCCGCGTTTCTTTTGACCTTCACCGTTTTCCGCTCTGAGATTGCTTCTCCAATGTAATGATAGCATGTGTTCGTTATTATCTGGGACTTAATAATAATGGAAGTAATTTTGTCAGACATATGCCCTAGCCATGCGTCAAGTGTGTTTCGAGTTATTCGGAACTGATTATACTGTACGATATATGGCGTCCATAACAGGCAATCAACCGTTCGAGATTAGGCAAGTACATAGGCTGTCACAGAGTCGCTGGATAGGTAGGTGGCCTGGAGTGTCAAATCAAGTGCATTTGGTTCTTTATTTTTTTTTTTGCTGTGTCTTATGTGTAAATAATTGAAAATACACAAAAATACGTAAATTAGTACACACTAAATACGAAGTGGTTTTGGAGCGATGTGGTAATGTATAACTGTAGACATACGACATGTGAGTTGATAAAGTGCGGAATTTTTTGGAAAATGAAAACATCTTTATTTTTGAGAAAACAAGGAATATATCTGTACATTTGATTTGTTTGGTTAATGTGGGATATCCAAGACAACAATGTCTTCCACCGTGACTGCCAAAATACTTTGGTGTCAAGTTGTCTTGTCGTCCTACTTGACTCATGAATCAGTCTTCCTTTTTTCAGGTTTTTCACGGATACGCAAACTTCGAAAAATATACTCTTTTCTACGCGATATTCAGACCGCACTTGTGTATCCCTCGACCAACCAACTTGAAGTGGACCTGTGGTTACGTCTTGTTTTTCTTTTAATTTGCTTGTACATT